CAACCGTCATACATCTTCTTGCACTATTATGTATTTTAGGTGCAGTGTGACAATAGGAAAATACTGACACAGATCATCCCACTAAGAAGCACAACCACTGCTGTATATCAGCTGAAGAAAATAAGCTTGCGATGCTGGGATTCTATATTACGTCATAAATGCAATGGATATAAAAGATACATATATAAAGGATACAACATTAGAATTCATCAGCAGAAGTAGGATTTTTTAAATTGCTGAATTATCGAGTGTTGAGATGACAAACATTTCAATTTCCTAGCCATTAAATAATCAATGTCACTCTAGTGCTGCACTGCTCATTACTTTTTTCTACAATATTTGTAACGGAGCTGTAACTGTATACTCAATTAGCTTAAAGCATGAAATTTATTTTCAACGCATCTTTTTTTGCTAGCAAGACAAGATTACATTGAAAAACCTGCATACTCATTGTATTCTGTTAGATCAGCTCCATTTTTAAACACACACAACAAAGACACTAGTCATTAATTTTTTATATCTCTATAAATATGCTTAATCATACGCTTTTTAAAAAATGGATATAGTTACATACACTTCAGATCAATGAACTTAAGATTCAAAAAAACTTTAGCAGTGGCTTTTCAAAAGATGATAATACTGCCATCTTTTTTCTTAAAGAATGCAAGACTCCAGTGCCTCTTGACTGCACTACTACTGTATTACTGCATTTTTGTTGTTATTACAAATATAAACAAACTGAAAATTTGTTTTAATAGAGATGACCCTTAAAAAACCAACACAGAACGCAAGCATTCAAACCATTACCCTAAGATCCAAGACGGTAAGTTTATTCCTGGATAGCAGTAAAGGCCTATTTCACATTTTCTTTGCTGATCACAGTGCTTTTGAAGGAAAGCTGTTAATTCCATGGCAAGCTTAACCACCGTCGCATATGTGTAGAACGTTGGAGGTTTGTCGTTGCATTCATCAAACCAAACTGCTTTTCTATCAGAGTACAGGCTAGCCGCCTGATTCACCATTTCCTGAAGAGTCATCTCAGCTGCATATCTTCAATCCCCCTGAAAGATTAACAAACCAGACTGCATTGTCACCTCCTAACTTTTAATATTTTAGTCAAATTATATAAGCACACAAAAGACTACCAGGTAGGAAGAAAGGTACTTGGCAGAAAACACACAGCTTCACCACACCTTATATTGCACAAGTGCAAAGCTTAATACTTTTATCGTTTACCGTGGGGTCTCATCCTAGGGCCCAGGATACAGTAATTCACTAAGATTTCATCGCACAGAGGTAGTTTGTTCCTCACCATTACACCTTTGCTTTTAAAGCTAGGCACAACTGAATCAATAACTTTTTAAACACAACTTAACTAATAATTTTCTTTTTAACATAATTGTGAAATACGAATCTTTCCTTTGCAAGCAGAAAACCCAACGCGTCGACTGCCAAGGCTTTTAGGGCACTGCTCGTGCTGGTGCACATCTCCGCCCAGCCGGGCCCTCCCGTCACGCCCGTACCGGACGACCGAGCCGCGGCCCGGAAGGCCCCGGGCGAAGGCCCCCCCCCCCGCCTCCGCCGCGCCAGGGTCAGGGTCAGGGTCAGGCGCCTCCACACCCCCGCCACGCTCAAAGCCCCCCGTTTCTGGCCCCAACGGCCGGTGCTCGGGGCAACGGCCACGCCGCCCGGGTCCCCCACCTGAGGCAGCGCCGAGCAGCACCTCCCAGCGCCCTCCTTCTCGCCGTCGCCTCCTAGCAACGGAAGGTCAACGCTTCTGATTGGCGGGACAGTGTCAGTCCTGCCCGACTCTGCAGTAACGCAGCGCTCTCATTGGCCGATGGCCGTCGCGCTCTTTGGGCACCCGCAAGCTGCGCCCCGTCCCCCGGTGGCCTGCGTGGGGCGGCGCCATTTTTTCCTGAGGGTGAGAGGAACAGCGAGTGTGCCAGAGCCCTCCCAGCCCTCCCCAGCTCCCCGGCAACTCTTCTTCAGACACGAAAAAGAGGCTA